ACTTCTAAAATTTTTAATTAAATAAAAACGAAAATAAGTCAACAAATAACTAAAAATAATACATATAAAACTATTTGAATATTTAAAATTACATCAATAAATATATTTGATTATGAGCTTAGGATAACAATAAAATTTTAAAATATTTAATTTCAAAAATTAAAAATATGTATAATGAATATACATATAAGAACAAATGAATAAAAATATAAAAGACATAAAAAAAATTAAATAATATTGGTGTCAAACGATTGTTAAGAGGTTGTTGATTTAAAGAGAAATAATATATATAATTTTACTAAAAGGATATTGAACAATTTCACTAAAGATGAGATAATAAGATGAATCTTATTTATAACAAGGTTTCCTATTTGTTTAGGAAGGTGTTTAGAAAGGCCTTCCTAACCTAGTGAAAATCTTTCCTAAACTTATTCTTACGAAGGTTTTCTACTTGTTTAGTAAGACCATCCTAAACAAGTGAAAATCCTTCATAAACTTATTTTTAGAAAAGTTTCCTATTTGTTTATGAATGTTTTTAGGAAGACCTTCCTAAACAAGTGAAAATCCTTCATAAATTTATTTCTAGGAAAGTTTCCAACTTGTTTAGAAACGTGTTTAGGAAGATCTTCCTAAACAAGTGAAGATTTTTTCTAAATTTTTTTTAAGAAAGTTTCTTACTTGTTTAGGAATGTGTTTAGGAAGACCATTATAAACAAGTGAAGATCCTTCCTAAATTTATTTCTAGGAAAGTTTCCTACTTGTTTAGGAAGGTGTTTATGAAGACCTTCCTAAACAAGTGAAAATATTTCCTAAAATTTTTTTAAGAAGATTTCTTACTTTATTTAGGAAGATGTTTAGGAAAACCTTTCTAAACAAGTGAAAATCCTTCATAAACTTATTTTTAAAAAAGTTTTCTATTTGCTTAAAAGGATGTTTAGAAATTTTTTTTAAATAAGTGAAAATTATTCATAAACTTTTTTTTATGAAAGTTTTCACTTGTTCTCGAAAAGACAGAGTTTGGGAGTGATTCCAAAAGTATTGGCGTTGGAGGAAGATAGAGAGAAAGAGCATTTCCGTGTCTCCGCGAACACTTGTCGCTGACTCAGACTCCTGTAATAACATTACTTTCTTGATTTTTTTAATATTCAATTTACATGTAATATTTAAAGATATATGTACTCTCTTCTTTTTATTTAAGTACTACTATTATATAAGATAAAGAAAACAAAGCTGAATTTGGGATTTGATAGTGAGAAAAAGTAATAGACAAATATTGCGTCAGGAGACGATGGGGTGCACGTGGATTAGGGGAATTATTGGTATACAAGTGATGTGTATTTTTATGGGGAGTTTAGGAATTTAGTTTAAGAAAATAAAAAACCAATGTTATATTGTGTTTTTTTAGCAAAAAAACAAAAAATTTATATTGTGTTTCTTTGGTATTTATTATTGTGTGTTTACTCGATGATGCGATTCTTTGGGTGGTGAAAGAATCAATACTCTATTTTTTTAGGGATTAATCTGATACAAAAGATAATGAAATTAATAAGCAAATCACAAGAAGACAAAATTTTGCAAGCCCTTTAACAAAAAAAAGGACAGTATTGTGGTTA